CAAAGGCCAGATACAGAGAATCTGGGCACGGGTGGCTCACTTCTGACCCTTGTTTATGAAGATCAAAGGCCAGATACAGAGAATCTGGGCACGGGGAACCTCCTCGCCTCCGGTTACTCATTACTCAACCTCTACACATTTACCATGCTGTCTCAGGGCGTACTCACACTACAGTCTTCCCCCGAATAGGATGTACGGTCGTTAGAGCTGTATTTGGAGCAATTTCCGGTCTAGATACAGCGATAATGGCCGTATGTTTTATTCGCGGGAAGACAGTAGCACTTTCCTCAATGTATCTGGCTGCAATTCCGGTCAGACCTGGATGAATCTGCCCGCAATCATGTCCAGTGCTTAGCAGGAAAAAGTCCTGCTGTGAGTATGGCCTGCCTCAATTGTGAACTCCTGATGCAGGGTGGCAGTGCAGAAAGTCTCTGCGCAAGATGAGGGGAGTCAGAAAAGTACTGAGTCAGAAGGGCCTGTATGCTTTGACAAATGTGTGATGGAATGCAAGACGGCAGAGACGAAGTAATGAGGAAGTGTTGTTTTGCTGTGCACATAAGTTTATGACATTCCAGAAAACACAAAGAAAGAATAGCAGTGGGGGTTCGCCGGTTAAAACCTTGGAATTTTATTTTGAATGGGCCCAGTGCCCAAGGCTTACATCAACATAGCAAAGGATAGCGTAAAAATAGCAGAGGGCACCTGGCCTCGGGTGAACTCCCCAGCCCGAGCCATCCCTCTGTAGAAAACAAAATAACAAAAACACTTCTCAGCAATCTAATTCCTAATACCACCCAATTGCCGTAGGATCTCACACAGCAACAAAAATCCTATAATAAGCACAACCGGCGAAACCCCACTGCTATGGTTGTGCTTATTATAGGATTTTTGTTGTTGTGTGAGATCCTACGGCAATTGGGTGGTATTAGGAATTAGATTGCTGAGAAGTGTTTTTGTTATTTGGTTTTCTACAGAAGGATGGCTCGGGCTAGGGAGTTCACCCGAGGCCAGGTGCCCTCTGCTATTTTTACGCTATCCTTTGCTATGTTGATGTAAGCCTTGGGCACTGGGCCTGTTTGAAATAAAATTCCAAGGTTTTAATAAAAAAACAAAGAAAGAATAGTAGCCCTTCTCGGTCTTTTGGCTAAAAATAGATCAAGTGCATTGTATATGTTCTGGTCAGTTGCAATATCTCATCCAAAAAGAAGAAACAATAGTAGATGATCCTTGAAAAAAAAGAATAGCAAGTAGAATCAGATGCCCTGATGAGTTGTGATTCGTGCTTCATGAAAAAGAAAAAAGAACATCGGCCGGAAGATCGTCTGATGATATCGGAGGAGAAGGTCCATGGCACATGAGTGCCCATTCCCACCAGAAGCCCTCTGCTGCAGCGGACAGTTCTCACCCTTGCGATTGGCCTGCAACCGGTACAGAGCCTAAATAGATTTTTTTTTTTTTTTTTTTTTTTAAGGATAGATAGATAATTCCTATTAATTCGTCATCGGGTGCCCTAGTAGATAATTCGTCAAATCTTAAACCGCCAGTGCATCCAAAAAAGCAGATTGAGCCTCTCCTAAAAATTCAGAGGCCATGGACCGTCGATACAATCAATTAGGGGTTCATGACCGCCAATTTTTCAGGAGAGGCTCAATCTCCTTTTTCGGATGTACTGGTGGTGATTTTAACCACCCCAATACTTGGCCCAGCTATCGGCGGCGGGAAAAAAAAAAAAAAAAAGAGTAGAAACGTTTCTAGTTGGATGAATTTGGGCGCCGTACATTTCCTACAATCGTACGTTTAAACCACTAGTGTACCTTGGCCGAGTGGGAAAGTAGCGGGCCCCTTGGGTGGGTCTCCGTTTAACCTTTTAGGAGGCCGAAACGAAATGACGACGCTTGAAACGGTTTTCCTCTCTATACGGTTATCCTTGATGACCAATGGGAAAGAGACCGGTCCCAGATTATAATAACCTGGCGAGCAGGACCACACACTAACCTCAATACTCTGGGACCGGTCTTTGGACTTATGCGAGTCGAATCACCCAGAAAGGACCGGTCCCATTGATTGGACTGGGGGACATTAATAGACCGGATGCATTGCACAGGTTCAAACCAAGGGTAACGCAGCTGGCAAAGCACAGTCCTCGGGAATTGCGTGTAGTGTAGTAGCAGATAGCCGCTGTCTCCAATGGAGCGGATGAAATAAAATCCTATGAGAATTTCAGTAAGGGGTCTCCATATTTTGCGATCCTCATGCCATAAGTGGTTCATCAAGAAAACTCCCTTAGTCCTCAGCCATTGCTTACCAAAGGAACCTGGATCCCCTTGCCATGAGAAAGGAAGACCCCGATCATTGAGGATGAAGTCATTTCCAAACAAGGGCTGAGCAAGGATCTGGCTTCTGCATCTAGGCGCCACCCGTTTAAACTGAATTTTTCGCCAAAAAAAGAGTGACTTTTGGTCCATGTGCAATTCTGTGGTATTTCAGAGAGAGAGAGAGAGAGAGAGAGAGAGAGAGAGAGAGAGAGAGAGAGAGAGAGAGAGAGAGAGACAGAGAGAGAGAGACAGAGAGAGACGCGGGGGGGTACATTTAAGTGATCGTCCTGTGTTCTTCGTTCTTCTTCATAGAGGGAGATTGTGTGTGCGTGTGTGTGTGTGTGTGAGAGAGAGAGAGAGGGGGGGTGGTGGTACATTTAAGCGATTGTCCTGTGTTCTTCGTTCTTCTTCATAGAGAGAGATTGTGTGTGTGTGTGTGTGTGTGTGTGTGAGAGAGAGAGAGAGAGAGAGAGAGAGAGAGAGAGAGAGAGAGAGAGAGAGAGAGAGAAAGAGAGCTGATGATGAGACGTCATGTTTTGAATTGCAGGTCAGTTGAAGGTACGAGAGATGTCGACGACGAGCGATGGAGTTCCAGAGGAGAATCATGGCTTCAATTATGACCTTGTTGTTATTGGAGGGGGTTCCGGTGGACTAGCCTGCTCGAGAGAGGCCGTTAAGTATGGAAAGAAGGTGGGTGTCGATGGACATTTATTGCTGAAGAAATGCGCACCCATAGGCATACATTTTATACATCCGATCCTCTTGGGACTTGAACTTACGATCTGTTTTCTAACACTGACAGTGTGACACGTGTGTATTAGTTGTCCACATCCTCCTCCCATTTTTTTTTATTTTTTTTTTCCCCTATTCTACTTTTTTATTCCTTTTTTTAATAATGGAACTGTCAGTAGACTCAGTACTGTGTTTGCATTTTAGTATTTTACGAATATGTGTGCTATAATCATATAATGTTATATTTTATTTCCGCATTAGTGTAACTGATCAGCGGCTGAGAGCCACGTGGACGGAACCCTAGCCAATCAAAACAAGATTATGATTACCGATGATTGATGATTGATGCTTTGATGATCAATGATTGATGATTGATGCTTTGATGATCAATGATTGATGATTGATGCTTTGATGACCGATGATTGATGCTTTGATGATCAATGGTTAATGATTGATGACGGAGGATTGATGATGCTGAGCTCAGGGCATACTTACACTAGCACTTTCCCTAAATGTATCTGACTGCAATTACGGCCAGACTTGGATGAATCTGACCGCACGACCAGAGCTTAGTAGAAAAGGTCCTAGTGTGAGTATGCCCTCAGAACGGGCTGAGAAAAGCACTGTACTGTTTGGAGATTCCTGGTTGCTTTGAGTTTTTTTGTAGATTTTTTTTATTATTGTTATAATATTATTCCGTTTGCTGATGTGGTCGAACAATGTGTAGATTTTTTTAATTATTATCTTTAATTATTTTATTATTATTATTATTTTCTGAAAGAAGGTTGAGCATTTGCTTTCCTCTTCTTCCAAGAACGAGAAGTACTCTTCCTTAGGGCCTCGCCACACCACTCTCGAAAAATGTGGAAAAGACAAAAATGTGGCGGGTGCATCTGGCCATGTTCTAGCGGGAAGTTCGTTCTCATTTGGCACACTTCGAGAGTGTTGTGGCGATGCCCTTATTTCGTTGAATTGGAGACGGTTCAACATTCAAAATCTTGATTCATTGATTAAGATTTTTCCTAGCATTGTTACACAGTCCCTTTTGCCTGGATGCATTTGACAGCAATTACGACCAAGTTCACTTCAGAAAGTTAGTCCGAATAGGGGCTCGCTTAGGTTCCCGTTTGCTTTGCATGCACGGTTCAGTTAATTAGAAAAGTACTTGATCAATGATCAGTCCATTTGCCATTATTATTATTATTATTATTATTATTATTATTATTGTTGTTGTTATTATTGTTATTATTGTCATTATTATTATGTCTGTGAAGCTGACAACAGTATCTGGTCTCGTCTTGAATGATTGCAGGTTGCAGTTTTGGACTATGTTAATCCAACCCCCAAGGGAGCGCAATGGGGTCTGGGAGGTGGGTTTACCTTGAGCTTCTTCTTCTCTGCCTCTTACCCACACTCCTTCAACCTTTCCCTCTCTCCTCCCTTTCCCCACCCCTCGTCCCTCTGTCTCTCTGTCTCTCTGTCTCTCTGTCTCTCTCTGTCTCTCTCTGTCTCTCTCTGTCTCTGTCTTTCTCTGTCTCTGTCTTTCTCTGTCTC